GCAATTACAATACTTCCTTTTTACTCCGTACAAGGAAGTAAAAAGGTGACTAATAGTTTCTTTACAGTCTTTTTATTTTTTATGATTCTTTAATTTAATTGTTTACACCACTTCTTACATTTTTTTCCCCGATTTCATAACAAAAATTTGGTTTACATCTCAGGCTTAAAAAAATTTTTCTCTTCTAGACACAATTATTGGCTTTACACACTTTTTCTCAGATAGGATAATTTATTAAAAAATAATTCCTTTTTGAGTTATACTGTAATACAAAGTTATATTACAGAAAAGCCTTATTAGCATATCTATCTGTATAGTTAATGATTTTAAGAAAGTAACAACACGCATTTACATGACTTGATGGTAATTAATTATACCTATAAGTTAAGATATCTAAAAACTGTAATTTTCCTGTTTTCCATCATCATTTCTCTAAAATCATGGGTCAGCATTTCTAGAAGTTTCGCCCAATTGTATAAATCCTATGTCAGTGTAAAACGACCGACTATTTATTATGATTCTCGCATAAAAGTTTTAGAAATTTCTTTTAATTTTATGCAAAATCACAATCGATTAGGAAGTTTCAAAAACAAAAGGTTATTTTCCATTAAAACATAATGCTATTATTTATAAAGCAAGTCGTTTCAATCATACATTGCTTTCTAATTTGGAGGGAAAAAATCAGTTAAAAACAGTGATTTGTTTATCCACAATGTTGCACTTCGTAAATATGGAAATTTCATGACGATGATAAAAAATGTTTTTTTTTTTTTTAATTTTATATTTAAAATATTTTAATATTTGGAGAAAAAAGTGAATGTAAATACAATATTAAGGATATCAAAATAAATATAAAAAAAGTTTCACTATCATAAATCAGTAAATTATAATATATTTATCTTTAAAATATTTTGTACTTTAAAGGTACTTAACAACTTAAATAACTATGACATACATTTCCCATAATAAGCGATGCCAAAGAAGATATTTTCTAAAAAATGTTAGGTTTGAAAGTTTAGTCTACCAATTAATAGTTAATCAGCTATCTTTTTTAAACTCCGTTTAGTGACATTTTGTTAACTATATTACTACAAATTTTGTCTAATTGAAAATAAAATAGAGTATTTCAATGACACCGTGTTACACATTTCAAATAATTTCTTTAAAAATTTCTTGTAAAACTTAGATGGCAGGTAAATGTCTTTGAAACCCAACTTATTCAACTTCAATTGAATATTTGAAGTCAAACAGATATGGAACCCAGAACTAATGCTGTTAGAGCATTTTCGAGCTCGTCCAAAGTAATCTACATTATCACAGATTACTTCGAAATCACTAGAAAAAGCACTTCATAACATGGAGCTGAATCTCTCTCTAAAAATGGGAATAAATTCGAATTTTCTTGTTGCAATATAACACTCACATTTTTTTTAAAAAAAAAGTCAGTTTGGTACTGAAGTTATAAAAAATATTGCTTGATTTTTTCTTTTAACAAAGACATTTCTAGATCGAATTAGATACTCTTTAGGTGGCATCGAATTAAGTATTTCAAAGTGAAGTCAAAAAATAACATCTGCAAAATCTTCTGATGCTGTTTCGTATTTAAGAATGAAAACGATTCGCCTTCAAATGTAATTTCTTATGAATCCATTTATTATTTTAAACTGAAAGTAAAGATTTAAACAGAAATTTTCCACATTTTAGATATAAGTGCATTTTTCATAGAATATTATTAGATTTCATAGAAGATTAGTAATATTTATGCCGCAGAAGATTATTGCATTTTTTAGCGTGTGTTGAAAAAACGAACTTTTGAACAAAACTAAATTTGAAACAGAAGTTTCTAAATAAAATTTTGAAAATAAAAATAAAGTTTTGTACAAAGGGCCGTAATGTGAATTGCCAAGAAATGCTTCATGAATTAATTTGTATATTTTATCTGAACTTATAAGCTGTCCAATTACTGACGATAGGAAAATTTTATATTTATTAAAAAAATACTTTTGTCTTATGGCATTGTGTGCAAATCATTTAAATAAATGAATGAAAATAACAAACAAAGCGTATGCAAAGCGTATGTTTTATTATGAATCCGATATCCATAGATGTAAATAAATAATATTCATAAAGGTATTAAAATTTATTTATAATACGTAAGAACATCTATGTCTGAAACATGCTGTCTGATCAGCCTTTAACAGCCTTATAGCGTGAAAAACAGAAATTAAAATTTATGAGGAATATTAAAAAAAATGAAGTATTATCAACGCAGAACACCGTTAGACATTGTAACGTCTTTGTTATGCTACCAGCGTAATACAAGTAAGAAATGTAAAGAAACCTCGCGCATAAAATATCCGAGCTTGAACATGCACGCTATGTTGTTAATGTTAATGGAATGCTTTGAAATCATTGAGTTTGTTAATCAAAAATTCGTTAAAGTTTGACAAAATATGAAAAAGATAATAAAAAAAATTCCGAATTTGGACTTCCAGACGCCCACATGCGAGTGGAGGACTACGTTATTCAAAATTTGATGTTTCTAGGTACCGTTGTTTAATCACAATGCGACAAATATACATATATTCATGCTGATTCTTCATTATTTAATTTCTTTAAATATAATGCAGGGCTCTAATATTTGGTGGCAACAATTTAAAAAGTGATTCAGACTGATATTGATCCAACCCAAAATGCCGGAACGAAATTAATAGCTCTTCAGGGCTAACGCCCTTTGGGTTAAAAAAATGACTGATATAGAAAAGAAAATGAAATGGAAAAGAAATCGATGCCTTACTTTTTATATTTTGCAGAAAAAGCCGATTTTTATTAAAATATTTGCAATATGAAAAATATAGTTAAAAAATTGTATTTACTATTGTAAAACTTATATTTTAATTATAATATACGTATTACTTTTAAGAATCGTGAGGAAGGCAGCAAACACATTAGTGCACGTGAAGTGGCATAAACCTTAAGCCTTGTCTTTAACGATACATAAAAAATGAATTTATTATCAAAATTTTGCTATTCTCGGGCACAAATTTTATATTGACAAACACAAAAGCCCCTGAATAAGCCACTTACCAAGCTTTTTTACAAGCATATTTAACAAGCTTTACCTTTTTTGCTAAAATACTTAATCAATCGGTTATGTATTAAATATAAAACATACAATTTGTAAAGGCTACTTATTTTGCCTGTACTATGACTAGTTTCTTAATAAAAAAGTTGTCCAGATTTAGTTTCCTGACGTCATTTATTTTACCTTTTTAAATAGGAAATTATATATTTGATTTCTAAATGTCTGAATTTTCAGCTTCTCTTTCTTGCTTATGATTAGCAATGCAATGCTTTTCTTCCATAGTTGTAAAATAACATCAATCCAAAGCATTTCTATTTTTAAAATGCCCAAACTTCTATTGCGAGAGCAAATTCTATTAGGTAGATTATAAGGTATTTCTCCCACCTTTTTGGCGTGCCTTCGTGGTGTAGTGATTCTGCACGCCGGGCCGGTATTCCAGAGGTCCGCGGTTCGATTCCCGGCGAAGGCGATTGCTCAATTTTCACTGCTCTTGCTTCCAAAATGTCTCTACAAGATTTAAAAACTGAACAGTCATAACCACCCTGTTCATATAAAGCTCTGTTCTAATATTTCATTGCGAGCTACAGAGGGGATTTCTTTACACCAAGTCAAATATGAGCAACCAAGAATTTTAAATTCCGTTAATACAGATAAAAGTAATTTCCATTACTCTTATTTTTATTCACGAATCATTTTCATTTATTTATTTAAGTGCAGCTGAAGTATAAATTCTTGATTTTGTTTGTAAACTTTTGAAACTGTTTAACACTGCTAATTTCCTTTTAATTATGATATCTTGCATAATTTTAAATAATAAAAGTAGGCTTTTGTTATAATTCGCATCTCTGAAATCCGTTGATATATAGCAGACCAAAAAAAATTAATTAAATTTACTCTGAAAAGTGTATTTTTACGCTGAAAATTGCAATAATGACAATATAACACTTTTCTTATATATCTCCATAATTAGCATAATACCTATGATAACATAAAGAAGTATAGAAGACAAAAATTATTTAAACAAATTTGAATGTTTTAATAACTTCTGTGCATGTAAATATGTAAAACATAGACTGTGCAGTTAATCAGAAACTTAGGTAACCCTTAGTTCTTCAATAATAATCTATCTTCTAAATCTTCCTTAAATGTTTTTATCGCTGTTTTTTATTAATGTCTTTTTCTCATCAAGAGAACTCATTTTTCAAGATCTCTGGAATCTTGTTATATGTACTGTAGATGAAAAACAAGATACGAAAGAATACGTATATAGTTTCATGATTTTGTTAAATGAATCGGCATTAATATTAGTAATTAATTCATCTTTTGTTAAAAGACGTTTGGAACATTGGGTTTTGGTAACTAAAATTGAGTTTACTTCAAAAAAAAAAAAAAAGAATAAAAAGAAAGAATTTTACTCATATATTGTTCTTAATTAATTGTGACTTATACAAATTTACTCTTTTGCACCTTGATATTTGGTTCATTTAGGTTTAAAAAAAAAAAAAACTATCATTTAAAACCATAATTCTTGTTACAATTAAACTCTCTGTTCTTAAACTATCTAAAAAATTAGCAGTTGAAAGAGTTAAATAATAAATGGAGTCAGTTTTTTAACTGCTGAGAACAGTCAAAGATATGCAAACAATCCCAAAAGTAATGCAGAACGCAGTTTTATTAGCCTATAATTTAAATTTATAGGTTAATAAATTTAGCCTAATTACATTAGGAGGAAGGAATTAGGACAGAAGGGACTGCATTTTCTGTTTTCTTTACTTTTTGCTATCTTCTTCTTGTCTTTACCTTTTGCAGGTACAATAGTATTAATATTGTTTTACTCAGTCCATAAACATCGTATTTTGCGTGAGCAAAAATACTTAAGTCATAATTACAAAATCTTTACAAAAATATCACTTACTGTTTGGTGGGGAAAGCGACCTAGATGCTTGAAGCCAGGGAAAAGCAGATCCCAGTGGATGTGCCCAACAAGGGGCAGCAATAGGTACTGCTGTACTCTGAGACTGAAGAGTAATGGGCCGAGACCCTAGTCCAACAGTGCATGCAGTCCCAGTCACTTGCAGTCTTTTATTGTCATCGGTAGAGTCTAAGATACCATCAACCGTAAATCTCTTAGGTGCTTGTTCTACAGGCCTAAGAGCTGCAGGCGACGGGGACCGTCTAAATGTTCGACTTTTATCAGCTAAAAGATAATCTACAGAGAATGAAATGCATGATTTAGGTACTGCTGAAGTATAATATTTCTCAGGACCCCGCGGGGGTTGTAGACGATCATTCGCAACTCTATAAGGAGGTGAAGGACTGTGTGACAAATCATCCGTATCATCAAAGTGTCCCGACACTGGAGGAGACGGAGAAGATGCAATCGGTGACGGCATGTTAACTTCTGCCATATTTTGGACAACAGAACAACTTAACTGCATCTCCAGAACACCGATAAAAGTATACCTCTGTAACAACAGGAAGACTTTCCTTATCCAATTGAGTATTCGAGACTTCGAATTCGGCGCATGATCACTACACGCCCAAAAAGTCCGACAGAAACCGAAACTGTTTCGAAATTGGGGCCCAACGAGTCGAGGGTTACCGATGTTAGTATGTAGTCTAGTATCATCTGAATCCCCTCGCACCGGCGGCATTTGAAAGAGGTGGTAACATCACTCAGCTCGCCATTCCCATTGGCTATTGATCGTGACACACGCACTAGTGCGCAGAGGGGGCCGTCCTCCAAATGGGAGGGGCGAATAAACAACCCCCTCATAGTATCCTTCTATGCCACAGCCCTCGGGCAAGTAGAAAAGATAGCTTGTCAGGTGTCGTGTACATTTTAAGTGCTCTTAATTAACACATCACAGCGTCTCCCCCCTTTTTCGATCTGTTTCCGTTGCAGGCTGAGTAAAACGCCCGTTGTTGCAAATGACAGGTCGTTTTTCTTTCCTGGCAGTCAAGTAAGACGTCGAAAATTGAAACTGCAGAGACGGGAAAACGAGCTACAGGTTAGAGTAACTCTTCGTGAACGGTGACAGGGACATGGATTGCTATTGATGACTGAAAATAATTACAATAGGAAAATACTGCAAAAGCGGCATTATGATTTTTCTCTAAGCAAGCTGTATTAGACATGTACGAGAAATGTATATTTAGATTCAATTATATTCAATGTCTAGTCTATCTATGCTGTCATCAACACGATTTTTTCTGATTGCGCAAGTGTCTATTTCAGCCCTAGTGCATTATTTAAGCAAGAGTAATTAATTTTAATTTTTTTTTTTAGTCCAAAGGGATTTGAATCCCGAAGGACTATTAGTTTCGTTTTGGCATTTTGCGTCGGACTCATAAATGTCGGTTCACTTTTCAAACTGTTGCCACAAAATGTTAGAGTCCTGCATTATATTTGAAGAAATTAAATAATGAAAAATCTGCATAAATGTATGTATATTTCTCGTATTGTGATAAAACAACGGTACATAGAGTCATCGAATTTTGAATAACGTAATCCTCCAACGAATATGAGCATGTGGAAGACCAAATTTGAAATTTGAAATTTGTTTTAGGATCGATTTCCTATTTTTTAAAACTTTGACGAATTTTTGATTAACAAACTCAAGGATTTCAAAGCGAGCAATGGCAACGTTGTGCAGAAAAAACATTTTTATCTCCAGCGCGTGAGTCTCTGTATCGGAAATTCTAAAGATAGGCTCGTTTTAAAACTATTTTGCGATATTGCTGTTGCACTGGATCTTATGGTTTAAGTGCGAGTAACATGATATTTAATAAAGAAAGGTAATGCACAAAACGTTAAAACAACGTAATTTAATTTGGACGTAATTTAAAATCTGAAACATTTCAGATTTTTTTTTTTTTTTTTTTTTTTTTTTTTTTTTTTTAAGTTAGATTGATAAGGTATGTTCATTTCTTTCTATCGGAAATATTTTTCATTACGTGATAGATTAAGTTCCATCAACCTATTGTGACAAACCGCTGTTTATAGACTTTATTACGTGATAGATTAAGTTCCATCAACCTATTGTGACAAACCGCTGTTTATAGACTTAATCTATTTATTACGAATTAAAACGTATAAAGTACTTACCTGTTTAAATTTTAATTTTTCTCATAGTCCGTACTTATTTTAATTGATAAATTTTCTCAAGTTCATAGCTAAAGTTTTGAAAGCTGAACATATTTGTAATTCAGTTGAGTAGAGAAAAAGAAATATGAGTTTAAGATAAATGAACTGTACATTTCAGGACTATAAATAAACTGCAAAAGCTATCAGTATTACGACTGAGATAAAATATTATGAAACTTTTTTTTTTTCGCACGATAGGTAAACAATTGTATTTATTTGCGATCATTTAAATAATACACCGGAATCTATACAAACATATATCGCACCTGATACTTTTTGAGTCTGTGTAATATGAATATAAATTGACAGAGAAAATATTTCTGCCTAGGTTATTAGCCTTCGAGTGCTTTATTATATATAATGAACCAATCTTACATTAAACCCAAACCTATAGTGGTAGAAAATGAAAAAAAAAAAAATAAATAAATAAATAAATAAAATCTGAAAACTCTCAGATTTTAAATTCCGCCCAAAGAGGCGTTTTTTAACGTTTTGTGTGTTATCTTAATTTATTAAATATTATGTTCTTCTCACTTAAACCGCATAAAATTCTATTCAACAGCAATATTACAAAGTATTAAAAAACAGCATATCTTTAGAATTTCCGATACACAGTCTGACGCTCCTTTGGGCTAAAAATAAAAAATAAATAAAGATAAGATTACTTATCATTTTAACTTTCCCTCTATCATTTCTTAATTTTAAGAAAGCATTTTTATTCCAAAGGGGCTTTGTCTCTGAAGAACTATTGTTTTCGTTTTGCAATTTTGCGTTGAATCACTATAAATGTCTGTTTCACTTTTCAAACTGTTGCCACCAAATGGTAGAGTCCTGCATTATATTTGAAGAAATTAAATAATGAAAAATCTGTATAAATGTAGGTCTGTTTCTCGCATTGTGATAAAACAACGGTACATAGAGCCATCGAATTTTGAATGGCGTAATCCTCCTACGAATATGGGCATGTGGAAAAGACCAAATTTGGAATTTGTTTTATTATGGATTTCATATTTTGTAAAACTTTAACGAATTTTTGATTAACAAACTCAAGGATTTCAAAGCGAGCAATGGCAACACTTTACGGGGGGAAAAAAGAAAATATTTTTATCTCCAGTGCGCGGAACTGTGTATAAGAAACTCTAAAGATAGGGTCATTTTAAAATTATTTTGCGACATTGCTATTGAACTGAATTTTATGGTTTAAGTGCGAAGAATATGATATTTAGTAAATAAAGTTAGCACGCGAAACGTTAAAAAAACGCCCCTTTGGACGTAATTTAAAATCTGAAACCTTTCAGATTTTTTATTTCAGATGTAATGTTAATACGAGACACCTTTCTCTTAAATATTATTCACACAATTCTCCATATTTCCCATCAGGCCTGAATATGCCATAATCCAATCCCAACTCTACTAGGAAAATAGCTTTAACTTCTCATATTACCAATTTCTATATTTTTGGCCATTTTCACAAAGTACGTTTTCTGATTAAATATCTAGTAGTACAGCAATAGTTAAAGTAGTGATTTTTGCTAATTAGCAATAGTTAAAGCAATGATTTTTGCTAATTAGCATTTTAAAGAATAATAATCAGTTTAATGCAGCCCACAAATAATATAAACATTGCTGTACTCAGTTTTTTATGCGTCATCAAATTAAAATGTTTCTCGAATTTATTAAATTCATTAATAGTATATAGGGAGCCTACCTTTTATCTGTGTAGAGGAACCTAATGAACTACTAAGCGAATAATCGCTTAAGTCCAGAAACAGAAACGTAAAACTCAAGAAGGGTTAATTATCCTTTTTTGCTCACAGTATAGATGTACAGACGATCCCTTTCTCAGAACGTAGAACAAAGTCTCCAGTTAGGCTTAAACTCAAAAATGTAAGAAATAAGAACTTACGTACTCACTTGTAATATCTACTTGTATAGCTTTTGATATGACAACTGAAGTACGCGTAGGAACCACACAGGGAAAGGGTAAAAAGTACCCGTTGTTAAAACTCTTTAAAACTCACAATACGTCGATTTGACGCTAACAAACTACGCCTCGCTCGGGCGGTAACTCAAATAACACGAACTAAACTAAAAATTCGAAGATATCAACAAACAGTAGAATTACTTTACAGGACTCAGATACTCTGTTACCTAAAACCGCGTCGAAGACTAGTGGTAGCAAAAGTTATATCTGTTACGCCATGTTAACCAGCAATAAATAAATACAGAATCCGAAGCTCGTGCTACAAAGGTACAGCGCTTGCCCACTCTCTCTCTAACTTTCCCTTCTAGAACTCGGTATTTAAACCTTTTCTCCTCAACATTCCTTCACTCGCGCTACCAAATTTAAATATTTTGTCATTGACAATTAGGGGAATTAAGGCTTATAGGAAAGCGTAACTCAAAATAAATATAAATCCCTACAGACTAACTAAAGATATTTAGCCGAAGCTAACACAATTTCTAACTAGTTGGCCCGTAGTATTAAATTAGCTACCGAAGCTATCAAGGGCATGTAATACGGCCGAGAGTAGTAACAATTTAGAGTAACAATTTAGTAACCAAAAGTAAACGTAGTAACAATTTAGTAACCAAAAGACAAACGCGCGCCATTCAGGAAATCTAATTCTCTCTACCGAAGTCAATGGAACTTCGATTTAAATATTTCCTACTACTCATTTGCATTTAACGCTATTCTAGAAACTCATTCTGGTAAGGAATTGTAAGCTGAGATAGGAAAGTGTAACAAACTTGACAATAACTGTTATAAACATAGGATTTACCTTACAAGTAAATTAGAAAATGGCTTCTCCTTCACATATGCAGTGGTACCTTGACTTACGAACCACTTAATGAGCAAACGCTTCGAGATACGACCTTTTTTTACATTCCATGTGGAATATGAACTTACACTGGAGGTACGAAATTTTTTATACATCATTTTGACTTTTAGATCAGAAACTATTCTAGAGCTTTGAAACATTTTAATGTCGTTATTTGTATTAATCACAATAGGGATTTGTAAAATATTTTCTCTCATTTTCATAAAAATATATATTGTGCCTCATTTATTTCTTGAAAATACTATATACGTATATGTAATGTGATAAAGACTACTTATTCTTGATAATCTTTAAAGATCTACGTTAATAATTATTAGTTAAGCAAAGTTCTTCGTTAATTAACTTTCAACTACTAAAATGCAGAAACTAGAATTCATAATAGGTGGTGTATTTTTCTAGTCTT